TTAAAACTCACCCTGTATAAACCTTCGCAAATACAATATCTGACAGTTTCAAAGCCAAAACGAATGCTTCGCAATTAAATGTCACCCGATCGTGTTAGTCCATATTTTATATCTAATGATGAAAGGAATTGCTTTATAGATCTATGAGGCATATCCCTAAGGTAGGCCTGTAATTGAAAGTTACTTTTCACACATAATAAAAGTAGGTAGTTAAAATAATACCTCAAACTCACTACTGCATACTTTATTCGGGTTGACATGTTGATTAACAAAAGTGCTCTTGTCCTGTAACCCAACTAGCTCAAGAAAAATGTTTAATATAACTTCCAATGCTCCAGGTAGAGTAGGGGTGGTCCACAAATACTCATATGAATCATTTTTACTCATATGAAATCATACCAGATCATAATATCCAGGGGTAACCCTAGTCATGATTGAGAGGACGCCACCTTGTTGTAATAGCTTCTGATTGCCAGTTGTAAAACAAGGAAACAATGGCAGGCTAGTGTGATGGAATTATTAATTATACTAAGTGCCAGGATTAAAAAATAACAAGTATTATCCTCCAACCATATAATGAAACTCAGAATTGAATAATATACCACAAGAAACAGAATACACAATTAATATAGCAGCATGAGAGAGTTCATATAAGTCTGGCTATTATAGAATATCTATGTAACAACCTTATCCTAAAATATTTATATCAACCACAATTTTTTCTAAGATTAATTTTCAAATAAATGTTTATACTGATGGGAAGTGCTTACTTTTTTCCAAATTATTCTAGACTCAGTAGAACATAAATTTACTCTGAAATGTTATATTTTTTTACACATAAAATAAATACACAATTAAACAGATGACAAAACACTTATAATAATCTTAAATCTACCCAGTTGTCCGCTGGCTTTGATCCTTCACTCACAACACAAAAGTCCTAGTCAGATCAAAAGTTCTGAATAAAAATATATCCCGCTAAATTCATTTAAGTCCCACTGCCGAAGATTTAATCAAATTTATTCTCAACTCTCATAGGCTAAATTGACTCTCATTAATTGAATCCAAATGGCTCTCAAAATCCAATCAAACCAATTAAGAGAGAAATATCTGTTGATAATCTAGAGTAGGTAACACTTCCTTCTGCTTAAGTAAATAATCTCAGTTAACTTCTCAAGAGTTTGTTTTCAAAGTTCTCAGCAAAGCTTAATACTAGCACTCAGCTGACAATTTTGTTGGTGGGCAGATCTGTAGCTAACGTTAGGTCTGAACTACCAGTCGCAGCATCCCTGATGGAGTTGAGCCGCAATTGGACCACATGCAGTCTTAGTGGGGCAGGGTGTTGGGCGATGACACAGATGTACATCTTACATCTTACATCCGGCGTCTTCTCCACGATCAGCCGATCGGGGAATCGTCAATACAAACTGCAGGGTCTTCTTTCTTCACGAGGCGAGACGTGAGAAAGTGTGGTCAGACACAAAGTCTGAGATTTTATAGTAGGGCCTATCAGCAAGGTATTGTTTAAGTTTTATGTTGAATGTGCGTGTTGGTGGTAGATTTTTTAGGTCTTGAGGCAAGAGATTGTAGAAAAATGAGCCAGAATAGGTTGGGGTTTTGTTAAATTTTTGGAGTCTATGCTGAGGTGGGTCAATATTGTGTTTGTTGCGAGTGTTATAGGAGTGTTTCTCTTGTCGTAGGGTTGGGGATTGTTGTCTGGCCAGGATTATGGTTTCATATATATATATAGAGGGAATAGACGGTAAGGATTTTGTGTTGGGTAAAAAAAGGTTTGCAGTGCTCCGAGGGTTGCAGGCGCAATATTGTTCTAAGGGTCTTCTTTTGCCGAACCAAGATGCGGTCTGTGTTCTTCTCCTGGGTGGATCCCCAGGCGACGATTCCATACCGCAGATGGGAAGAAAAAAGTGAGTGGTAAGCCAGAATTGCAGTGTTTTCATCAGTTATAGCTCTAATGCGTCTAATTACGTGGTGAGCCGTAGCTAATTTTTTGCAGAGATGGTTGGTGTGATCTTGCCAACTCAAGTTTTGGTCTATAATAACTCCCAAGAATTTGGTTGATGCGGTAACGGGAATCTTCAATCCTTGCCAGTCCTCATCAGCTCTATTACTGTTGTTTGGCTTGAAACTTATGTGAACGGTTTTTGTGGTGTTAATGCTGAGTTTAAGAGACTTGCAGATAGAGGTAGCCTCGTCCAGGGTTGAATTGACTATGTTGCTATTGTTCTCATGGTACTTTGTAGGGATTACTATTGTTGTATCGTCAGCGTAGAGTATGGTTCTCAGATTATGGTTCAGTGACTCTGGTAGGCTATTAATATAAATTAAAAAGTACAAAGGACCCAATATCGATCCCTGTGGGACTCCTACCACTGTTTTCATTAAGGATGATTTGACGGTTCCAATTGTGTTGTGGTGCTGATAGCCTAATTCGACAAATTGTTGCCTGTCATCAAGGTAATTTTTAACCCAATTTAGAGCTAGGTCCGTGATATTGAACAGTTTAAGTTTCTGAAGAAAAATTTCCCAGTTTAAATTGTCAAAGGCTTTTTGTAGGCCCAAAAAAAGGGCTGAAGCGCTACATTTATTTTCCCACAGATCATTTATGGTTTTGCATAGATGAGCTATTGCCGTGTTGGTACTATGACCCTTTCTGAAACCGTGTTGGCATGGAGATAAAAGATTGTAGTTTTGAAGGTGGGTAGATAATTGGTTATAAATAGCACGCTCAAGCAGTTTAGATATGTCTGGCAGATTTGAAATTGGTCTGTAATTATTGGGTTCATGTTTGTCGCCCTTTTTAAAGACAGGATAGAGGGGTCTTGTGGCAACCAAGACCGGAAACCCTGAATATTCCAATGTATACCCAGATAGGAAAAAAAACTTGATTAAAGCTTGAAAAAAGTTTGATTTGTCACATCTGCAAACTTGAATCAAGTTTGCTCAAGTGGGTTCGTAAACTTGATTCAAGTTAAAATCATGCGTCGAAGTTCCCGCTCTTCCAGTCTGAATAAAACTTGAAACATTTAATTAGAATAATACTATAAATGCCTAATTTGAATAAAAATTGAAACATCTAATTTGAATAACACTTGAAATATCTAATCTAAATATAAATTGAAAAAAATACTTGATCCATGCTTGAAATAAGTTTGATTTGTCAAATCTGTAAACTTGAAGTATCGGGTTTGTAAACTTGATTCAAGTTAAAATCATGCGTCGAAGTTGCCGCTCTTCCAGTTTGAATAAAACTTGAAACATCTAATTTTAATAAACCTTGAAATATCTAATTTGAATAAAAATTGAAACATCTAATTTGAATAAAACAATAAAGTCCAAAAAAAAATTATTTTTTAGCCACTTACAAACTCTTTTTTACTCCTGCAAATTAAGTTCATATGCTTTTACCAGGATTCACTTATCCAAGTAAAGCATGCGACACTCAAGGCTTGTTAAATCTTTTTACTTAAAAATATGACACATGTAATAAAAATGTCATATTTTTGGGTTGAGATGCATAGCACATATAATCTTCCAATATTTCAGACAATTTTTCACAATCACAACATAATCTAATAACTTCAATACCTCTAGTTGTTAAATGCCAAGACACCTCTCTAAATAAAAAAGCGAGATACCATCTAAAAACTTATTTTTATAAAAGAGCAGGAAAAGATGAGTTATTATAGTTTTCAATCTTACAATTTTACCTATTTGTAATGAGAGTAAGAATGAATGAAAAGAACTTTAATCACCTTTAGAAAGGTTCTTTTTCATTCATTCTTACTCTCATTACAATTTTAATAACTTGAATAATACTACATTGAATTAAAATGGATTTGTTTTTAAACACAACAAAACAATAATAAAGAATTGGAGACACATGTTTTTTTTACTACATTCTTCCTCCCTAATGTTAATGAACGTAGTCATTTAAATAATTAGGAGGTCTTCTGCTTCTGAAACTTCTTCTCGGATATGTGTTATGGTTCTCTCCTCTAGAAGCTTCTTGTCTAGGTTGTAAATTCTCGGCAGTAGTATTCATTTCATCTTCTTGATTCTGTGTTGATGATGGACTAGGAAAGTATTCAGGTTCAGGTTGAGAAGTGGGTAATAGAGTATTTTCATCACTCTCAAAATCGGTTAGCTCTATGTCAGTTTGGTACTCACCAACCGGAGCAAGATGACGTGTAGACACGGTAGTTTCTCTTCCATCAAGCAACTTAACATGAGCATACTCGGCATTCCCGTGAAGAAATTGGACCTCTTCAACAAGTGGCTCATACTTGGACGTACGATTGAATCTCTTCAAGTAGACAGGGCTGTGTAGTGTGGAGACAAGTTTGATTTGTGGCTGTGCAGAGTAATGACTTTGTTAACGATATCATCGATTCTAGGTAGTGGGTAAGCGTCCAGTAATGATTCCAGTAATAATTTATAGTTCTGGAGTAGTCAATGACCATTCTTTTTCTATGATTTTCAGTAGTAACTACTAATGCTTGAGCCCTCCATGGAGACATACTAGGCTCTATAACATCGTCTTTAAGCAATTTACTTACTTCGTTTTCAATAAACTTTAAATCATCGGTTCTATGGCGATGATACTTGATTGCGATTGGCTTAAATTCCGGTTTTAAATTAGAAAACAAAGATACCGGTTCTACAGTTGAGGCTGCCACTCTACATACAGTTGGTTATGACTTGTTGCCACCAAAGACTACTTTAATACTTGCATGGTTTTTCAAAATATCATGTCCAACAATTATATCTGCACAAAGATCTGGTAACAATGAAAGATTAACTTGCTTGTAAAAGTGATCAAGAATGACAAGGTTTACCTATTATTACTATTCATTACCTACGAGGAATTCCAAATTCTTTGAAATTAAAAATAAAACACAAGAGGTAATTTGTCTAAATAGATTTATATTGAAGATTTACATAACACATTTACATTTGAAAATGCCACGTCTCTTAACTAAGGTGACGATCCCTAGACTACAGTCCAAGCACGCTAAAATTTTACATTTACATTTATTTTCAAATGTATCACTTTTTAGATTCATAATTTATTTTTGGATCTTCATCCCCACTGAGTGGAACCTCTTCCCCATTGTCCACAGTGGCAGGTTTTTTCCCTCTGAAAAAATTCTAAACAAATAGAATCAATATTAAATTTAAGAATAATTAACCAAAATGATTAATTTTGTATCTGGTATAAAAAATAAGCAAGTAAGCAAAATTTTAAACTAACGCAGTTCAACTCACAACAAGTGTAGGCCTGTTTAATGAAAATTAATTTATTCGTACAATGATATACAAATACAATATATGATCTTCCCACAGTATGTATAACACACAATTACATTGTTTGTCAAAAAATGCTAGACACGAGCCCATCAGGATTGTTTTCTTATTACTTCAGGCGAGACCTAGGCGTTGCGGCATTATCACTTCGATAAAATCCGTAAGTGAATCTGCGGGATTTTATATTTTATCGTTTAAGTATAAAACTAGTGATAGTTCTTGGTTGGTTATCCTAAATATAGCCAAGACATTTGTTACAAATTTTGCTCATACTCTACAATATATAACCTTTCATTTACAGTATAAATTAACCCAGGTAAGCCCAGCATTGCTATGAAAAATGAAAACAACCCCTCTACAAGAATAAAAATACTAGCATTTTTCATTTTTTTAGCTTATACAGTACTTGAGCAATAATAATGACAAATAAACAATAAAAAACATGTTTATGAAAAACCATTATGCAGTAGACTCCTTTTTACCCTAACACCTTGTAACCAGACTGCACTCAGCAGAAGATATATCTCTTAAACCAGAAATCTTTTATCAGTACGGTTTAACCACACTAGATCGGCAGGAAGTGGGCGGTACTGAACCAACTTGTCTTGTAGGAAAGATTTGAGACCATTCATCACATGTCTAAAGATCAAATGATTTAAAAGGTACAAAGTCTTGGCATCTTGTGTTTTGTTTACATGAATTATCCCAAGGTGTCTATAGTTTGGCTATTTTTTACAGAGTTATCTTTATTAGCTTTATTTTTCCTTAGACTTTTATCATGTAACAAGTATGAGGGCACGTCAATTTCAACTGTCTCCTCCCCTGTATAATAGAGTCCACTGTACAGTATTATTAGGCTACCAATGGAATTCTATTAGTGATGAGTTTAATAGTTAGTTGGTGAAAAATTTTTATCCTTACCTTCTTTCACATCTGGTTTTGGCTTGTTGAAGCCACTTAGCAACAACGATTGTAACTTTGGCTTCCGTGGCTTCACTTATATCGAACATTTTCTGTGCGGCAGCTAAAAAAAAATACTTAAAATGAACTTAATACAAAATAGTACATTTAACCCCTAAGACCTAAAGTTTAGCCCCAAAGGGGAGGCAACTGTCCGGTGTTGGAATCGGCATTTCAAGTAGGCCACAGACATGGACGACTGGGCATTGCGTCCCAGTGACATCCCTTCATCCAGGATAGGGGGGGTGTTTAGCTCTAGGAGAGATGGAAGTGCATCATAATCTCTAACCTACCTGTGTCTGTGGTTCTTTGGGCTTCGGCCTGCTTGTTGTGTGCGACCAGCATTCAGAGTGGCATATCCTCGACTTTGGAAGTAGCCTTTCCTGGAGGTGAAAACGGGCAAGTACCCTTAGCTCATGGGGACACTCAAGGGAAACGTAACTTTCCGCAGTGTGAGGGCAACGGTTTGTAGGCACTTATGCAAACCAATCCCTGTCTCTGATCACGGACGGTATGGTTATCTTGAGTGTGGGGGGTTCTTCCCGGAACCTCAATTGAGTCAAGGATGTCGCCACCTTTGGTGGATAGGTTCATCCGGGTGGGTCCCACTTCTATACCTGCCTCCTTTTGGGAAACCCCGATGACCTGGCAGTGATGTTGGGTCTGACGGGCAAACGAAGTAGATCGGGTGCTGGGTCCGAGCCCGCCAGAGGTATCCGGGGATCTATCGCTCTGGTTATCTCTGGTTTCCCAGCAACTGGGTAAGGCCTCGATCGGGTAGTGGTGTAAATGGGAGGTTGGGGTTCCCCCCGTCAGCGTGCTGACGGTCCCCTTCCTTCTGGCTATTGATGGCGGGTTTGCCTGTCAGGGATTAGATAGGTCCCGAGTGTTGCTTGCACTAAATGCGTCGGGGCGCTCTACTATGGTCCTCTAGGTCCCGACCTAGTGGAACCCAGGTGGAGTGACGCTTAAACAAGTAGCCGGAAACCCTGGTTAGGATTGAGGGGCAACCCTCTTTCCGAAGGGTCTGCTTCGGCAGCCGGTGAGTCTGATGACCTTAAGTCATCCGCCCATGATGTGCAAAAGGTTGATGCGTAAGCTTCGGCCTACATCATGGGGCCCGGGTAAGTCTCACGATAGGTACCGGGTATGTAGTCAGGGGGCTTCGTCTCTCATGACAAATATTGAAATTGAAATTGAAATTGAAAAGACCTAAAGTTTGTCTTCCCATTTCAAACCTGGGGTTAAGTTTAATTTCTAAAGCAGAGTTCAAAATTTTACTTTCATATTATCCTTAATATTTTAATAAATCAACTGTTTGACATGTTCGCTACTGATCCTACACATCAAGTTGTACATGCGCCGGTAGGGCGATCTAAATAGACCGATCCTAAAGCTGCTAAAGAACATGATATTTTTTATAGAGATCATAAGGATAACTGGGACGGATGGCAGCATCCTGTAATCCAGCTACTAGGAGGTTACGAATTGCGGATATTTATAGGCATGCACTGTGGATGCGATACTCCTGGTGTGGATTAACGTCCGCAAGAGTGAGTACTACGACTATCCGCAGTACTATTCTGAAAATTAGACAAATTCGTATATACGGGCAAAAAATGTGGTTCGGATTCCACTATAAACTGTAGGTCTCTTAGTTTCCATTAGCTGTATGGGCTATTAATTAACAGCTAGCTGTATCTAAGGAATAAGTCGGCCTTAGTCACCATCAAGACCACAAGATCGCGCCACTCATCCTACACTCATCTCCATTCATACTTGGCTTAAAATAACTTTTTATGGTCGCCATTTCATTGAAAAGTATTAGGCCTAAAGTAAAGTATTCAAGGTCACTGATGGACTAAAGGTAGTAAATTGGTCAGTAGCTCAGACCGGAAATAAAAACCTGTTACAATTAATTGGCAAGTAGTATTATTGTTGCTTAAGATATTTTTTACATGCTTTTGTCGTACAATAAATCTGTTTTTAGCGAATTTCCCTATAGGGAAGTAGCTATTACTGTAGGTGGCACGGTAAGACCTAGGCCCGGGACCGATTTACTTTTTAATTTTTATGTCCCCAGAGGCCAAAAACACCATTGGTTCAAATTTTATATATGTATATATATATATATATATATTAATATATATATATGTGTGTGTGTGTTTGCGTGGGTGTGTGTGTGTGTGTGTGTGTCCGTTAGCACGATAACTCGAGCAAAAATGATCCAATTTTGATGCAATTTGGTATAAACGTGTAAACCTACATTTATTTGAACGAGTTTGCGAACCAGCGTGATCAGACTATGGGAACGGGGGTTTACGGGGGGTTTTACGGGGTCAAAATAGGGTTTTCCCATTTTTGAACCAAAAACATAAAATTGAACAATTTCTTTCCAAACCATTTTGTAGAGCTTAAAAAAAAAAAATTAGTATATTGAAGCGTTTTCATGCGCCTAATGGTTACGGAGAAAATTCCAAAAAAATGTATATTCAAAATTTCCATGATATTCCTATGGAGAACAAGTAAACTGTGGTAGTTTGCTTGTTTATGAACATATTTTGATCAAATTTGGAAAATGTTTTTATTTCTTCCTAACTATTAACATAAAAAAACCAGTTTTACCCTCCCTGATGCAGCAAATCTAAGTACTTGTTAAACTAATTCTAAATAGGAAATAAATGTTATATTTTTAAGTAGACATTTTACTGTTAATTCAATCAGGCAAATGGAAATCCGCTTAGTCTGCAGGTTTGCTGCGGCGGGGATATTTTTTGTTAAGTTAGCTTAGTATGGCATAAAATATTCTACGTCCCTCGTCCAAAATGTGTTTAATGGACTCGATTGGTAATCCCGCACTCGACTTTATCTCGCACGGGTACGACCACACTCGTCCGGTAAACACTTATTTTCAGAACTAGTAACGTAATATACTTGAAGTATTATACTTAGTAGTATAATACTTGTAAGTAATATACTTACAAGGATTACTTACAAGTAATTTTATTACATTAGGTATTTAGTGAACCTTGATGGTTGTCTAAAACTAGTATTACTGTTTATTATTAGTTGATGAGTTATTGACAATGACCTACCTCTGGAAAGGCAATGAGCTTGAATGAGGTCCTTTGCTAGAGTTACTTGATGGTGCCTGGGATCTGTAATCCTTGGGGTTGTAGTACTCAAATACTAAGGTGAAAAAAGCAAGCAACAACCCCATAATGATCAAAGAGTAAACTCCTCCTGTACAAATTAAAATACACAATCCTGAACAACACTTTAATATAGTTTGTGTTGGTTCACAAGCAACAACTTTTTATTTTTTTGAAGAAATGTTATTATTCAATGAGTTTATACATTCAGTTTTTACATTAAATGAACATCTCTGAAACATAACTTAGGTTGCAAAGTAAACTGCTTTTTGAGTAGTTGATACGAACTAGATTGGTTTGTGTTCTTTGCTATCATCATGTATATATTAAAACGTTACAGGGGTTTTTTATTTCACGATTCTGAATCAACCACTTGACGGATTTTTATGATTTTTGTGTTGAAAGAAAGATAATGTTGAGAACTAGGGAATGTCGAAACCAAAATTTTAGTTTAGAGTTTCAGTTTTTTAGAAATTAAGTTTTAAGTTTGAAAAGTCTAGCAGCCGACGCTAAAATTCTTCTCTAGCTTTTGGCATAATACCATTTGCTTAATGTAACAAAAAATTCTGCATTTGGATGAAAATGAAATGACATTTGTAGAATTGACTTATTTATACTATATGTAATGCTATAATGCTATAATAGGAAATGTTGGGAAAAAAACAATGATCAAATGTTTTAATTCCTCATGGCAGATTTTTCTTTACTATACTATGCTTGAATGTTTTAATGGATCGTTTCCCGTACGTAGGACGGGCCAAACAGCTCGTTTTTACATAATGTATCTACTTTTCCACCATAGAAATTTGCTTTGCGTGTTATTGCATGAATGTGTGAATTCACGTCATTGGCACCATTTAATTTCTTTAGGGTGTTTATTTAAGCCTATAATTTATGAAATGTCATAATTTTGGCAATGTTCTTTAGGGTACAGTTTAGTTTCTCATAGTTTCCTTATTTGTACTGAGGGAAAATAAACAATTGGGATATTTGTAACTTTAAAAAGGCCTGCTTCTATACCTCATATGAAATTAGTTGAAACACACCATGTCCTAAACATCAATTTTTTTATGCTGCCAGCTCACACTTAAATTTTTGACATCCATTAATGGATTAATGCCAGATATAGGGTAAATTCCCTATCAAACAACATCAAGATAAAAAATATCGTTCGAAAATAGAATAGAATGGAATAGAAATCTCTTTATTGCAGGAATGACAACAATTAATATACAGCATAAAAATTATAGTCTTTATTTGATTGCTTAACGAATAAAGTAATACTAGTAAGTAAAACTAATACGAACAGAATAAAAACCAATTATGACTATACAAAATTAAAAAAATTGTAGCATTTTTGATTAGGTTAATATTTTTTTGTTTATGTATTGAAATAAAATTTGAAAATTTGTGTTATTATTAAAGAAATAGTTTGCAACTCTGCTCAAATAACAAAATGTTACAAGTCAATTCAGAATAATTCTTGTAAAGTAGATGAGACGTCATTGGGGGAGGGGGAGGTATATAAGACAGCACGTGCTGCAAGGCTCTTCCTCAGTCGGGTTTAGTTTGGTATTACTGTAGTTCAGTTCATTTGTGATTAACCATCTTAGTCTCTGGTACCCCAATTTGGGTAAGTTTGTTCGAATTTTTAATAGTCTTAACCTTTTTATTTTCAGTATGTCTCATCTACTCCTTTTCAGCTTATTTTAGTTTTAATTCTAGAATTCTAATGTTATTGTATTTTTTTAGGGCTCATGAAACTAAATAATAATTCAAATTCAAGAAATATCCAAAATTGTGTAAAGAAAAGTAAATGTTAAAAATCAAATTTGAGCAGAGAATGATCTTAATAAAAGTTAATTTAATGAAAAAGATGTCAGTGTATCAAGGTTTATAATTTTGGAAGTAAATAAATTGTTTTTAAATGTCTTGAATATGTTTTTAATTCAAGTTACACTACAAAATGCGCCACTCTGCTAAACTCTGCTTAACTCAAGTTTGATGACAAGTCCAAGATATAATTTCTTTAATTTGATTTAAAATGTGTTATTGAAGAAACTAAAATGGCATTAAAAGTAGAATTTTTACTAAAACAAGAACTTCAATATGAATTATTAGTGAGAGGGATTGAGTTTGATCCTAATGAAAGTGTGTCAGAGTTAAGAAAATTATTGAGAGCTGGAATAAAAATTAAAGTAATGCCTAACGCTCATAATCTATCAAAAAAGTTAGTCGTTATAGAAGAAATTCAAACTTTAAATAATAGTTTGCAAAGTTTGGATGATAAAATTGTGGATCTTAAAGATAGTAAAGATATTAATAGTTTTATTATAGCAGAAATAAAAATTAACCACTATGAAGGTAGAGTAAAGAACTTAAATCAGTTTAAGTTGGGTGAGGATGAAAGATCTAAAGTAGACATGTTGATTGAGAAGTTAAAGTCAGTAAAAGAATCTTTTAATAAACTTAACTTTGATGCAAATGAAAAAGCTACGGTAGAACGTAAGTTAAGTGAAAGTATTTTAGAAGAGGAGGAGCTTGAAAATGTTTTCTCAGAAAAATTAAAATGTGTAGAAAAAGTAACACAATCGAGCTTTAATGTACAAGAGGACCAAAAATGTAGTTTCGCTAAGCTACCAAATCCAATTCAAATTCACTTACAAAACTTTCAAGTTTGTGATGGTTTGGATGTTAATAAGTTGTTAGGCTTTATCAGAAACATATTAAAAGATAAACATAGCTAAAAGATGAAACCGAACTGTCAGATGAGCAAATCGTGGATTTATGTTTAGGTTACACTACAGGGCCTTTGCATATCAAGATATTGGAATGTAAACGATTGAAGTTAGGCTTAACTGCTTTACATCAAAACTTGTTAAGTTATTTTGTACCTGTAGGTCTCAGAGAGAGTCTGAAACGAAATTTAGTTAACAGACCCCAAAGAGTAAATGAAGCATTTGATTTTTACATTTTAGCTGCCAAAGAAAATGCTAAACTATTGAACTGTGCATACTCTGAACGGGAGTTAGTAGAATTGATTACAATCGGAATGAATCCCGAAACAAGAGCTAAGTTAGTATTTTATCAAATGCCCTCAACTTTTGAAGATTTAGACCAACTTTGTATTCACGCTCAAAATGTCGCCTATGATGATTGTAGACGTTCAATTAGAGTACACCCTATGTCACAACCGGATGGTTAACAATGTAAATGTTTCAAGAACACCTCCCAAGTGTTACAATTGTAACCGACTCGGACACGTTGCTCGCAATTGTTTTAGGAAACAAAACAATTACACCCCTAACTGTCGTGCCAAAGAATCCCCTACCTCTCCAAAAAACGAGTCAACTGGGGAAAAACCATAAACCACTATAATACAATAGGTTTTTCCCGGATAAAGAGTGCAAATTTCTCTGGTAGAATTAAAGTTCAGAAAATGATAAACAATAAGGAAGTAAGAAAATTTAACTCGTACAGTAGAAGAATAAATTATCACTCCGGATCAGTACAACAAACAAGATTAAAATCTAAGATAGGAAAACCTATGCTACCCACTCTTAAAGTAATGTTTGGAAATAAAATAAATGAAAATGTCCTCTTAGATTCAGGAAGTAGTGTCAGTTTAATAAGTGAAGATATGTACAGGAAAATGTCAAAATGTAACTTAGTTAAAGAAGCAAAGGAAGTTAATGTTAACTGCAAGTCAGCAATAAATAACGATATTTCTATAATTGGAGAATGTAAGCTAATTGTAAAGATACATAATTTTTCCTGGAAAGTAAGATTTTTAATTGCAAGAAGTCTAGCTTGGAGAGTAATATTAGGATCTGACTTTATCAAGAAATCAAATTTAGTTTTGGATCTAAGTGCAGACAGTTGTTATTTTAAATTCAGCCCAGATTTTAAAATTGAGTTGAGTCATAACCCTACAATAATCAGTGCAAATGTAAACAAGGAAATTGTTGTCGGCTGTAATCAAGCAGGACCCGAGATAAGGAAACTAATACAAGATAATCCAACTGTTTTTACTAACAAGATAGGTGAAGCTATTAACTTTGAAGTTAGTTTAAAGTTGAAAGATAATAACCCTGTTAAACAGAAAAGTTACCCATTAAGTCCTCCTAAGAATAAAATTGTCAAGGATATTATTGATGACTTATTAAAACAAGATATAATAAGACCCAGTCTATCAAGCTATGCCAGTCCTAGTTTTGTTATTAAGAAGCCTAACTCAGACAAACATAGGTTGGTAATAAATTACAGTACGTTGAATAAGAAAATAGAACAAGATAATTATCCTATCGGTGATCTTCATGAATTATACCACTATCTAAGGGATTCTGAATATTTTACTGTGCTAGATCTGACACAAAGTTTTCATCAGATTAAAATAGCGGAAGATAGTAAACATATTACGGCCTTCTCAACTAATTATGAACTGTATGAGTGGAATCGTTTGCCTTTTGGACTTCATTCTGGTAGCGGAATTCTATCTTCTTATCTTAACCAAGTTTTCAAAGAAGAAAAATTTAAGTTTATACTTAACTTTGTGGATAATTTGATTATTTACAGTCAAACATTAGAGGAACATTTAAATCATTTAAAACAAGTTACTGAGAAGTTAAAGAAACATAACCTTACAGTTAATCCTAGTAAAGCTGTATTTGCCAGTAAGGAAATAAGTTTTCTTGGTTATCTAATCTCTAAAAATCAAGTATCTATAGACCCTGACCGAACATTAGCTATTAGGAACAGTAAGCCGCCTAAAGATGCCAAAGGTGTAGGTATGTTTATTGGTATGACGTCATATTTTTCCAAGTTCATACCAGAGTACTCTAAATTAGCTGCATGTCTAAATGAACTAAGGAAAAAGAATAAAAAGTTTATTTGGTCTGAGGAATGTCAAAGTAACTTTGAAAAATTGAAAGAAGCTATAATCAATCCACCTGTTTTGGCGATACCTGATTACAACTTGCCGTTTATCTTACAATGTGACGCAAGCGAACTAGCGGCTGGGGCAGTTCTTCTTCAAAGCTTTAATGGGGATGTTAAACCTGTGGCTTATTATTCTAAGAAATTTTCAGACTC